TGGGAGCCTCTTGGGCCGTCTTGGGGCGGTCTTGGGAGCCTCCTGGGCCGTCTTCAACGCCGTGAAAGCCGAAAAGGCTTGCATGCTAAAAATGCACTTTTTCCAATTGGAAATCAACCATGTTGGCCCCCTCGTGGCCTTTTGGGACGCCTCTTGGGGGCCTCTTGGGGCTTCGTGGGGGGCTCTTGGGGCCTCCTGGGAGCGTCTTGGGGCCTCCTGCTAGACTTTTCGTTTCGTGGTCCCCCTCTTGGGGCCGTCTTGGAGCCCTCTTGGGCCCTCTTGGGCGCATCTTGGACTGTCTTGGGGCCCTCTTTGGCCGTTTGGGGGGCCTCTTGGGAGCCTTTTGGGCCGTCTTGGGGCGGTCTTGGGGGCCCCTTGGGCCGTCGTCAACGCCGTGAAAGCCGAAAAGCCGTATATGCTAAAAATATACGATTTCCTCCGGAACATCCAATGATTTTGGCCTCTTGGGGCCCTCTTGGGACGCCCCTTGGGCGCCTCTTGGGGGCCTCTTGGGGGCCTCTTGGGCCGTCTTGGGCGGTCTTGGGCTCTCTTGGAGCGCTCTTGGGCCGTCTTGGGGGGGAACCCGAAAAACATGCAAAAACCCAAGGGAAAACCCGAAAACGGCCACTCACACTCATTCGTTCGCGGTACGCCCCCCCTGGACCCCCCGTTAAGGGGTTCGCCCACACCAGAACGTCATCACTCGTACCTCGCTCTTTCCGTTACCTGAGCTGGCACGGAAACGGAAAGAGCGCCTCAGGCATTTGCGCGAGATAGTTCATGGCACCCTTCGCTCTTGGGAGCCTTGGTGTGGAGACCTTGTTGCGTCGCCGTCTCCGTTAGGAGCCCTGGTGTTCAGAGATTGTTACGTTGCCGCCCGTTCCTGAGCCTTGGCTGGGCCTTGGTGTCAAGAACTTGTGTGCCGTTTGAGGGCTTTTTTGGGGGGCCCTTGAGGGCCTGTCAGGATATCCTGGGGGCATCTTGGGGGCCTCTTGGGGCTTCTTGGTGGGTTCTTGAGGCCTCCTGGGAGCTTCTTGGGGCGAAAGGCTAAACTTTTCGGCTCGTGGTCTCCATCTTGGGGCCGTCTTGGGGCCCTCTTGGGCCGTCTTGGGGCGCCTCTTGGGCCGTCTTGGGGCCCTCTCGGGCCTCTTGGGAGCCTCTAGGGCCGTCTGGGGGCGGTCCTTGGGGTCTCTTGGGCCGTCTTCAACGCCGTGAAAGCCGAAAAGGCTTGCATGCTAAACATGTACATTTCCCCATTGGAAATCAACCATTTTGGCCTCCTGGTGGCCTCTTGGGACGCCTCTTGGGGGCCTCTTGAGGCTTCTTGGAGGGCTCTTGGGGCCTCCTGGGAGCGTCTTGGGGCGAGAGGCTCGACTTTTCGGTTCGTGGTCCCCCTCTTGGGGCCGTCTTGGGGCCTTCTTGGGCCCTCTGGGGCGCCTCTTGGGCCGTCTGGGAGCCCTCTTTGACCGTTTTGGGAGCCTCTTGGGGGCCTCTTGGGCCGTCCTGGGGCGGTCTTGGGGGCCTCTTGGGCCGTCCGTCGTCAACGCCGTGAAAGCCGAAAAGCCGTATATGCTAAAAATGCACGTCTTCCCAAGGAAATCCAATGATTTGGGCCTCTTGGGGCCCTCTTGGGACGCCCCTTGGGTGCCTCTTGGGGGCCGCTTGGAGGCCTCTTGGGCCGTCTTGGGCTGTCTTGGGCGGTCTTGGGCTCTTCTGGGAGAACCCGAAAAACCTGGCCCGGCACAGAAACGGAAAGAGCGCTTCAGAAACAGAAACCGAAAATAATCACACCACCGTTCGTACTGGGAGCCTTGGCGTTGAGAGCTTGTTACGTCACCCCTCGCTCGTGGGAGCCTTGATGTTCAGAGATTGTTGCGTTGCCGCCCGTTCCTGAGCCTTGGCTGGGCCTTGGTGTCAGGAACTTGTTACGTCACCGCTCTCTGCTGGGAGCCTTGGTCTTATCAGCTTGTTTACGTCACCGTTCGCTCTTGGGAGCCTTGGTGTGAAGAGCTGTTTGCGTTATACCGATCGCTCTCCATTTGGCGTCTCTGGGCTTTCTTGGAAGTCCTATTGGGGCTCTTGTCGGGCCCTTTTGGAGGCCTCTTGGGAACCTCTTGGGGGCCTCTTGGGGCTTCTGGGGGGCTCTGGGGGCCTCCTGGGAGCTTGTTGGTGCGAAAGGGTAGACTTTTCGGTTCGTGGTCCCCGTCTTGGAGCCCTCTTGGGCCGTCTTGGGCGCCTCTTGGGCCGTCTTGGCGCCCTCTTGGGCCGTTTTGTGGGCCTCTTGGGAGCCTCTTGGGGGCCTCTTGGGGCGTCTTGGGCGGTCTTGGGCTCTCTTGGAGCGCTCTTGGGCCGTCTTGGGGGGGAACCCGAAAAACATGCAAAAACCCGACGGAACACCCGAAAACTGCCATTAACACGCAGTTGGGCAATCCTCGCCCCCCTCTGCACTCCCTTTAGGGGGTTCGCCCACACCAGAACGTCATCACTCGTACCTCGCTCTTTCCGTTACATACAAAAACCAAAGGGAAAGCCGAAAACGGCCATTAGACCACCGCATCCGGGCTTCGCACCCCCCCTGGAGCCCCCCTTTCAGGGCTTCGCCCCAACTCAACGTCATCACTCGTGCCTCGCTCTTTCCGTTACCTGGCCCGGCACGGAATCGGAAAGAGCGTTTCAGAAACAGAAACCGAAATTATTCACAACACCGTTCGTACTGGGAGCCTTGGCGTTGAGAGCTTGTTACGTCAACCCTCGCTGTTTGGGAGCCTTGGGGTTCAGAGATTGTTGCGTTGCCGCCCGTTCCTGAGCCTTGGCTGGGCCTTGGTGTCAGGAGCTTGTTACGTCACCGCTCTCTGCTGGGAGGCTTGGTATTATCAGCTTGTTTACGTCACCGTTCGCTCTTGGGAGCCTTGGTGTGAAGAGCTTGTTGCGTTCCCTTGCGGGGGCCTCTTGGGGGCCTCTTGGGGGCCTCTTGGGGGCCTCTTGGGGCTCCGTCTTGGGGAGGAAGCCGGAAAACATGCAAAAACCCGGGGGAACACCCGAAAACGGCCATTCGACTTTTGCGCCCGGCCCTCGCCCCTCCCCTGGAACCCCTCCCTAGAGGGCTTCGCCCCACACTAGAACGTCATCACTCGGGCCTCGCTCTTTCCGTTACCTGAGTTACCTGAGTTTCGTAAGATAATTTGGTGCCATGTTGTTGCCCCTCCTGGAATGTTCAGGGCGGCGCCCCGTCCCGCGCGCCGCCGAGCTCTGGGACCCTCGGGGGCCGCCGCCCCTGCTCGGTCTTCTCCACCCCTTGGCCAGCGATCTCGAGCCGCGCCCGCCGTGACGGCAAGAGACCTCGAGTCGGCTACGCGTAAGTGTGGCCCTTCGCTGAATAGACCTTGGCGCGGGCACACCAGAAGGACCCGAACGCTGAGCACGATGTGGCAGCATGGGCTTGCGCGCCTGGATGTGGCCGTGTGCCCCACTCAAGCTGCGCACCAAAGGTCACTCTTGCCGAGGATCACTCTTGAGCGTCGCCGATCCAGACCGAAGACTCCGACGGCGCCGTCGTCCGTGGCGTCGCCGAGCCCCCCAGGACCAGCGGGAGCCGCTGCCGCGCCCGCCGCCCCCGCCGCAGCAGCTCCCGGATCCGCCGCAGCCGCCCCCGCCGCAGCCCCAGCAGCCTGGCGAGGACCCTCGCACACTGGACACCTCCCTTGCTGCCGCCGCCCTCGTCGTCGCAGCCGTCGTCGCCGCCGTCGTCATCGCCGCCGCCGCCGTGACCGCCGCCGTGGCCGTCGCCGCCGCCGCCTTCGCCGTCGCAGCCGCCGCCGTCGCAGCCGCCGCCAGCTCCCAGAGATTCCCGATTTCTCCCCGTCGGGGTTTACCACCACGACGACGACGACGACGACGACGACGACGACGACGACGACGACGACGACGTCGCCAGCATACGGGGTGGACGAAGACGACGACAACGACGTCGACGACGAGCTGGGTCGAGCCCTCTTAGGATTCTGAATGAGCTCGGTCGACCCCTAGAAGATACCGATTGGAGCACTATCAGGAATCGGTTAGTGCTAGATCGAGCACTAGTGGGATTCGATTAGCGCTTGATTCAGCCCTATAAGAACTCTATTCGGGCTAGATCCAGCCTCAATGGGAGCCTATAAGTGCTCGGCCGATCCCGAGTGAGATCCTCTCAGTGTGGGCTGGATTGTGCCCTACTGAGATTCTCTGAGAGCTGGCTCCAAACCTTACAAAAAGTGGATTGAAGCTGGATTGCGCCTTAATTGGCTTCTGCGTTAGAACTGGATCATGTAGAGCTGGGTCCAACCCGACTAAGATTCAATTGAACTTGGATCGAGCTCATCTTCGTCGTCGTCGTCCGTCGTCATCGTCGTCCGCGTCGCTTGCTGGCGGCGGCGTGGACGTCGTCGTCGTCGTCGTCGTCGGTCGTCGTCGTCGTTGCTGGGGGAGGGGGTGGGCGTTTCGGGAGCCCCTCGAATATTTATCCCAGGGGAGGAGGGTTCTGGACCCCTCCGAATAAGTCTTCCGGGGAGGGGATGGTTTCTGTATCCCCCCCATAATTATCCGTTGAGGGTAGGGGGGCGTCCGGACCCCCCCCTCACCCTTCTGTTGTTTTGGAAGGCGGGGGAAGGTTTGACCCCCCCCCCTACCAGCAGCGGCTGAAAGCGCTCTTATGATGATGACGATGATGATGATGATGATGATGATGATGATGATGATGATGATGATGACGGTAGTGATGACGATGATGAGGATGATGATGTTGATGATGATGGTGATGCGGATGATGGCGATTCGGACGGTGAGAATGACGATGATGCCGATTGTGACGTTGGTGGTGATGATGGTGATGATGATGATGATGGTGATGATGATGATAATGATAATGATGTTGATGATTATGATGATGCTGATGATAATGATGATGATGATTAAGATGAATATGATGATGATGACGATGATGATGATGATGAGTGATGATGATGATGATGATGCTGATGGTGGTGATGGTGATGGTGATGGTGAATTGTGACGAGGAGGTGATGGTGATGGTGGTTGTGGTCATGGTGGTGGTGATGATGATGACGATGATGGTGGTGATGATGATCGTGGTACTGATGATGATGCTGATGATGTTGATGTTGATGTTGATGATGATGGTGATTAAGATGGTGGCGAATTATGACGATGGCGATGATGCTGCATATGATATTGATGATGATGCTGATGGTGGTGATGGTGACGATGAGGTTGATGCTGCTGATGATGATGATGATGATGATGATGATGATGGTGGTGATGATGATGATGGTGGTGATGATGATGATGAGGGTGAGTAGGGGCATGGGGGAGAAGACTATCAATCGAATCAGCTCGTCGGCCCAGCTCTTGGTCTGCTGTTCCACATGGTGCGCGCTCTAGGGTCAGAAATTGTGCGGGGGCCCGCGGCATTCGTTTCTTGACGCACGCGACGCCCTTCACGTCTGCCCCAACCTGCACCTGTCGGAGGAAGAGGAGGATCGGGGATTGCGACGCTTTTCGCAGTCCTTGGGGCCTCCAGGGGACGGGGGAGAAGAGATCGCGCGCGACGGGAAGTTCTCCCAGCCCGTAATCCATACTCGCTGTGCAGCCTCAAGAGCTCGGACACGCTCCTCCTCGTCGTCATCCTGGACCCTTCTCCTCATCGTCGTGATGCTGATGGTCCTCGTCCAAGTTCTCACCTTTCTCATCTTCCTACTCCTGCCCCATCCTCCACCCCCTCATTCTGACCCCCATCCCACACCTCCTGCTCCCCCGCTCGCTCATCTGTATCCACCTGCTCTTCTCTCCTCTCCTTCTCACTCCACTCTCCGCTCCTCTCGTCTACTCCCCTCTCCGGTTCCTCCGCTTCGATCTGCAAGTTGTGGTCCCTCAGTTCCCTCCATGAAGCGCCGGGCGGCGGCCATCGGTTACTCCTCCTCTTCCTCCTCCTCCTCCTCCTCCTCTTCCTCCTCCTCCTCCTCCTCCTCCTCCTCCTCCTCCTCCTCCTCTATCTCGTCCAATGTCTTCCATGCCGACATGGAGTGGTCTGTTCAGCGCCCGCTTCACGGCGTCGTGCGGTGCTGTGCAGATGGTGATGGTCCTCTTCCAAGTTCTCACCTTTCTCATCTTCCTACTCCTGCCCCATCCTCCACCCCCTCATTCTGACCCCCATCCCACACCTCCTGCTCCCCCGCTCGCTCATCTGTATCCACCTGCTCTTCTCTCCTCTCCTTCTCACTCCACTCTCCGCTCCTCTCGTCTACTCCCCTCTCCGGTTCCTCCGCTTCGATCTGTAAGTTGTGGTCCCTCAGTTCCCTCCATGAAGCGCCGGGCGGCGGCCATCGGTTACTCCTCCTCCTCCCTCCTCCTCTCCTCCTCCTCTCCTCTCCTCCTCCTCCTCCTCCTCCTCCTCCTCCCCTCCTCCTCCTCCTCCTCCTCCTCCTCCTCCTCCTCCTCCTCCTCCTCCTCCTCTATCTCGTCCAATGTCTTCCATGCCGACATGGAGTGGTCTGTTCAGCGCCCGCTTCACGGCGTCGTGCGGTGCTGTGCAGGTGACGTGGGCAGCATGATCCGCACGTCGAAGGGGCTCAGGGAGATGGTGCGAATCTTCGGTCTCGCTGAGTCCCTCGCCTGTCTCTGTTTGAAGTTTCGGAAGTGTAAAGTGGTCCCTCTGGGTGATCCCTTCTCGGCGTTCCGTTCCTCCCGAGCCCAGGATCAATTCAGGGCTGCCTGCCCCGAGTGGGCAGCTTTCACGATCACCGATGCTCTCCTCTAGTTAGGCTTTGTCCTCAGCCCTGGAGCCTCGCTGGACGCTAATTGGGCTGCGCCGTGGTCGAAGATGTGCTCTCGGGTTGGGGAATTGGCACAGACGGGGGCTGACGCGACGCCTCTGCTGAGACTGCACGCCACCCGCGTCTCCCCGTGTGCCTCGTACATCGCCCAGTTGCTCCCCCTTCCCTGGGCCTTGGCCCGCTCCGAACGTTTTTTGGTTTTCGCTACTTGTCCCTCGTCGCTACTTGTGCCGCGGCCCGAATGCGGTGTGCACTCGTCACCTTCCCGCACGCCTGGGGCCCCCTCCTCAGACGCCTCCGCCGTGTGGCTGAGACGCGTGGCCCGCTATCAGTGCTGAATTCGTCTTCTCTCTCCTTCAGTCCCCCGTTCTGGCAGATGGACTCGATCGCTGCCCTCATGGGGCACGCCGCCATGGGCGTCCCTGGGACCCAGGTGCCGCGGGTGGGAGGTGGGCCGTCGCTTGAGCGGGGGGGGCGGGAGTCTCTGCGGATATTCGGTGCTGGGCCCCAGGAGAGCAGGCCTAAGTGGCAGCGAGTGTTTTGAAAGGCTCGTCAAACACAAGTGTTTGACTGCACGACTTTCGGACCCTGGAGCGTAGGCTTTTGAAGTGGTTTGGCGAGCCCCGCCCTCGGTGGAGGAAGGAGGTTGGGAGCGGCTTCGAGAGCTGCTCGGGTCCCTCCCCTGGTCCTGGCGCCATATCAGTTTGAGAACGTGGCCTGGCGCGCGGCCCACGAACTGTCGCATGCAGCGCAATGCCCTGTGTACCCTGGGGTGTGAACATAGTCGCGACTCGGTCGACCTCTATCTGGGGTCGCGTCGGCGTCTCCACTGTTTGGCCTCGACGGCCTGTCGGACCTTGTTTCCTGGCTCCTGTCGGTTTCGGCTCGGCCTGCCTGGAGCCCCAGCTTTTTGCGTTGTCCTGATTCATTCCTATCGCCTCGCCGTCTATCGCTCGATAGGGGGCCATGTCGAGAAGGCCCTCTCGATAGTGGGTGGGTGGGGGGGGCAATTCGACTCGCGGTCCGTCTCCCCACCCGAGGGAGGCAGCGCAGGCTCCTCGACCCTGCACTTCTCATCAAGAGCGTGACGGAGGCCCACGGGACGGGAGAGGAGCTTGAGTAGGTGAGGATCCTTTGGTTACGCTCCACCTCCTCCTCCTCCTCCTCCTCCTCCTCCTCCTCCTCCTCGTTGATCGTTTTTCCCAACCATCCTGTGGTGTTGGGTCCTCGTTTTGAAGAGACAGCGCCCCGCGTGCCTCTCCTCTCCTCTCCTCGCCTCCTCCTCCTCCTCCTCCTCCTCCTCCTCCTCTTCCTCCTCCTCTTCCCCTCCTACCACCATCCTCATCATCACCATCATCAGCATCATCATCACCTTCATCTTCATCATCATCATCCCCTTCCCCTCCCTACACCATCGTCACCATGATCACCGTCACCCATCATCCATCAGCTTCATCATCTGCAGCATCATCCTCATCCACATCCTCCCCATCATCGTCACCATCATCGTCCCCACTGCCCATGTCGTCACACCCCTCACACGTTTCGTGGCCCCACAGGGACCCCCACCTAAGGCCACAGTGGCGGTGTTCGCATGCGTCTCCCCCACCCAGGACAGCGTTTCGTGGCCCCACAGGGAGCTCCACGGAAAACCCCACTGGGGGTGTTCGCATGCGTCTCCCCCACCCAAGACAGCGCGTTGTGGCCCCATAGGGAGCTCCACCGAAGGCCCCACTGGGGGTGTTCGCATGCGTCTCCCCCACCCAGGACAGCGCTTCGTGGCCCCATAGGGAGCTCCACCGAAGGCCCCACTGGGGGTGTTCGCATGCGTCTCCCCCGCCCAGGACAGCGATTCGTGGCCCCATAGGGGGCTCCACCGAAGGCCCCGCTGAGGGTGTTCGCATGCGTCTCCCCCACCCAGGACACAGCGCTTTGTGGCCCCATACGGAGCTCCACCGAAGGCCGGAATCGGGGTGTTCGCATGCGTCTCCCCAGCCCAGGACAGCGCTTCGTGGCCCCATAGGGAGCTCCACCGAAAGTCCCATTGGGGGTGTTTGCATGCGTCACCCCCGCCCAGGACAGCGATTCGTGGCCCCATAGGGGGGGCTCTACCGAAGGCCCCGCTGAGGGTGTTCGCATGCGTCTCCCCCGCCCAGGACACAGCGCTCTGTAGCCCCATACGGAGCTCCACCGAAGGCCGGAATCGGGGTGTTTGCATGCGTCTCCCCCACCCAGGACAGCGTTTCGTGGCCCCATAGGGAGCTCCACCGAAGGCCCCACTGGGGGTGTTCGCATGCGTCTCCCCCACCCAGGAACGTTTCGTGGTCCCTTTGTGAGCTGCACCGAAGGCCCCTGTAGGGGTGTTCGCATGCGTCTCCCCCGCCCAGGCCATTATTTCGCGGCACCTGGGAGCTTCACCGAAGGTTTCAATCGGGGTGTTCGCATGCGTCTCCCCCACCCAGGACAGCGCTTCGTGGCCCCATAGGGAGCTCCACCGAAAGTCCCAGTTGGGGTGTTTGCGTGCGTCTCCCCCGCCCAGGACAGCGCTTCGTGGCCCCATAGGGAGCTCCACCGAAGGCCAACATCGGGGTGTTCGCATGCGTCCCCCCCACGCAGGACAGCGTTTCGTGGCCCTGCCTGGCGGCGGGGAGGGAAGTCCGAGTCTGATACTGCGGCACGTGCTCCCCACCCAGGACAGCATTTCGTGGCCCCATAGGGAACCCCACCGAATGCCCTGTTCACAAAAACGGTAATCACAACTGCATATGGTTGGGTCCTTCGCCAGGCTAATTCCAGCGGTCCACTGCTCGATCGTGGCGAGGCCCTTCCTCCCGTAAAGTCGGTGTGGCGGCTCAGGCTACGGCTCCGGATGGATTGGCGCGCCTCAGGCTACGTTTACTCCCCATCCTCATAGCGAAACTCGGGGACCTATTCGTTCTGACCAGTGGCAGCGATGCGGACGATCACGGCTAGCCTGTTTCGTTTCCTCTTTCGTTCCTCCCTCGTCCTCACTTCCCACCAAGGCTGGCCGTTTTTGGGCGCGACTGCGTGCCGCCGACTCTCGCGGGGGGAACTCTTCAATAACTTGCACGACGCGGGCAACGCCCGCGCGACCCGCGATCGGCCCAGCTTGGTTCGCGGACCGAGCAAGCATCCATCCTCACCCTCAACCTCGTCCTCCATGAATATCCTTCATCCTCCTCTTCCTCTTCCTCCTCCTTCTCAACTTCCTCCTCGTCAACCTCCTCCCTCCTCATCCTCCGCCTCCCCCTCCTCCTCCTCTTTCTCCTCCTCCTCCCCCTCTTCCTCCTCCTCCCCCTCTTCCTCCTCCGTTGAACGCGAGACGCTGCAGCGTGCCGTATGCGCACCGCGGAACGCCATGCCTTCCTTCTTGCTCTGTTCCCTCCGCTCCCTTAACATCCCTGTCCAAGCACGGTCCCTTGAGCACGCTGACCGGGCCGCTATGTTTAAGGCCGCCAATATATCTAAAACTTTCGAGGATAATCTGACTTTGGGCTCTGTTTGCTGAGTTCCAAGATGATCGGGAATGCGTGGTGGCGTGGAAGAGCCATCTTGTTTGGAGTCAGTCTCTTTTCCAGGGCACGGCTTCCAATTGCACGAGCCCCACCGCCCTGCCCGCATTGTCCTCCGGGAAGCGCCACCTGCAGCACGAAGTTGAACGGTACTTTGCGTCTCTTACCCCCGGCCCTTGCGGGGAGGTTTTAAGGAGACGGGCTCAGCGCGTCAGCGGATGTGCCGCTCACGGCCGATGAAAAAACACCCGCCCTCAACATCTTCTGCCGGCTTGGGCCTCACCCCCCCCTCTGCTCTCTTTCATCTTTCTTGCGGACTCTCACGAAGTCCTGGTGCCCTTTCTAGGCGATTCGGAACCAACAACTCGCGCGTAGCAAGCCGGACGCCTAGAGGTGACCACATTCGGCATATTATCGAATGTCCTATATTTTACGTGATCACGAATGATTTCTCTCACATCCCCAATCGCTTCGTCCTCGGGGACGGTGTTTCTAGACTCTGTTTCTGGCGCCTTCTCCCCTGCGTGTGGAGCCCCTCCTTTACATTGCACTCTTCTGCGACGTCGTGGGTAAAGCCTACCATGACATCCGCCGCAGGCGATTGACCCGCGACCTGATGCTGGGGCTTGCAGGGGTTCGCCTCCAACAGCTGGCGCGGAGGGACCCACGGGCTGGGGGAGTAATGGACCGACTGTGATGCACACACGGCGGTAGTAGAAAACTTTCCCGATCGTGCGCCCGTGGGGCGGACAAATCGTGCCCTCCCGGTGCATTCGCAGAGTAGCCGAAAATGTTCAACATGCCCCTGGGTGCACTCACCCAGGTTCCGTTACAGGCTACTATGGGAAACACCTTGCGCGTTTCTCTCCCAGGCTGAGGTTCCACACGTGAGCTTGCCTACTGTAGGTCGGCGTGTGCGGAGTTGTGGGCCTCCTTCGGCGCCTCTGCGGCCGGTCATTCTGACCTTCTCTGGCCTCTCCTGTGGCAGTGTATTTTTCCTCGTAGGGGGGGTGGGGAGGCAGGAATTGTCCGCCAATCCTGCTCTGCAGACCGCTCATGTCCTTCCTGTGCGTTGACGGGATAGCCCTCTTGAAGGGCAGCGGGCTTCATCATCTCATTGTTGTTCCTCACTGGTCTTCTCTTCCAGGTCGTCTTCCTTCCCTTGTCCGCCCTTCTCTTGTTGGCCATTGCCATTTCTCCTCGTCCTCGTCCTCGTCCTACTCCTCCTCCTTTTTCTCCTCCTCCTCCTCCTCCTTCTCCTCCTCCTCCTACGCCTTATCCTCCTCCTCCTCCTCCTCCTCCTCCTCCTCCTCCTCTTTTCACCAGTGCGCGGGAGGACGCGATGGACGCGATGGACGCCGCGATGGACGCGATGGCGCTCCCAGACAGCATGCCACGCCTGAGTGCCGCGGAGCGCCCTGGGGGGCCTGCCCGCCGCGGCTCCCTGGCGCTTCTCCCGTGGCGGTGCTGTTCTCTTTTTCCTCCTCCTCTCCCTCCTCCTCCTGATTTGATTCCTGATTCCTGATGGCGTTAGAAGTCTCCGACTGCCGCCCCCCTGGGGACCGTTCGTCCTTGGGGGCTCACCGAACTAAAGCCAGGTGATCCGTGGAGCACCGTTCCAAAGGCCATCCGTTGCTACGAGTTTAAACGTGTAGAGGTAAATCTACATAACGAAAAGAAAGACAGACAGCCCGGAGGTGAGGAGACGGGGGAGACGGAGGAATCGCCTCACGTAGCCTCGGCAGGAAGGGGAAGGAGTAGGGCTGAGGCAGGAGGCAGCGTGGCGGCGTGTGGCGGCCACAGGGAGGTAGATAGCGTGAGGCAGTGCAAGAGTTGTGGCAGCTAGTGGGAGAGGTGGTGAGCGCCAAGGTGGGCGGTGGCCGCCCTGTCCACCCTCGGCGAGGGGGGAAGGCGCAAAAGGCCCTCCTATCTGGTCATGTGAGTCCCCCGCAGGCGTCCCCAAGGCACACGGCGGGACTCCTCCCTTGCGAGCAGGCGTAGGGTTCCCAGCACGTATGCCTCGGGGCCGCCGGGGGGGGTCCACCGAGCGTAATGGAGGTTTACGCTTTCCTGCCGGTGGCGGGTGGCCGCTCTCGCCCTAGCGGTGAGCCACGCTCGCGAAGGTAGCTGGCAGAGAGGCCTCACCCCCTGCGCATAGGAATCCCCCGGAAGAGGCCACCATCGCCATGACTGGTACCCTCCCCCGCCGAGGCAGGAGTAGGGCGCCCACATCACGGGAGTGGTGGCTGCTTGGGGGGGTCCCACCGCGCGTGGGGGTGATTTCTGCCAGTTGTGGTCGTGGCACGCGCGGTGGTGGTTGCTGTGGCAATCCCCGCCGTTGGAGCTCCCCTACCCGACCTTTCCCCCAGTAGTGGCGCGAGGCAGCTCCAACCACACTCGCCACGGTGGCGCGGGTGTGTGGTTCGTTGAACCTGGGGGTTGAGGGAGGTTAAGCAAGGTGCCCTTGTGGCTGGCCGTGGGTGAGAAACGTGCCCTGGTGGTTCGCTGGCCCTGGTGGCCAGACCATTAGGGTACAGAGGTGAGGCTGAGGAAGGTGCCCTGGGTGGCTGGCTGTGGGCGTCGGCTGTGGCCACGGCCGCCCTGGCACTTGCCTGGTCAGTTGGCGGTGTGTCAGTTCCCTCTCCCCGCCCATATATGTCCCACCAATACCCCACCACAAGAGGGGGGAGGTGAGGAGGTTAGTTGAGTGCGGTGGGGGGAGACGCGACCGCAAGCAGGTGAGCCAGGAGGAGGGGAAGTTGGGAGGTTGTTCTAGACATTCAACATCTGACTGACTTGTAATCGCCTGGGAGTGATCGCAGTCGCCACTGATGTGCACACTGTATTGTGCTGCCTGTCCCAGTGGTGTGCCGCGAAGTGAGTGGGAAAGCCCCGTAGGCACACACACATTGATCGCAGTCGCCACTGGCGTTCACGCTGTAGGTTACTGCCATAGAGAGGGTAGAAGCCCAAACCACCAGCTGTGCTGTTTCCGTCAGGCGGTGAGTGTGTACGTATCGGTAAGAGGACCGTGCAGAGATGGGAATGGGCGATCAGTGAGGAGTCTCCTGATTCGCCGTAGGTGTGTCCCGCTGGTCGCGCTGGTTCGCTTTGACGGCGTCTGCGAAAGTCGGCCAGGGTTTCCACGGGTCGGGGACGTAGACTGGAAGGCCCCCTACTCCATCCCCTGGTGGTCTCTCTGGTGGATGATGCCGAGGTGCCCGTCTGTGGGCTGGGACGTCACCGGCTTCCGTTCGTAAGCCGTGCGGTACGCGTCCCGGTCTTGTTGTCAGTAGTCGCATTGCGGATCGTAGCTGCTGTATCGCAGCCGTCGTGGGTGGTAGGCTGCATATTCTGGTGTGGATCTGGTTGGCACTGTCGGCTGTGCGGTCCTGCCACTGTTGGCTTGGTCCTCGATGAGCGCGTTCCGTTGAGGCTGCCATGTAGTGGTGTTGCTGGTCAGCTCCACTCCCTTCGGTCCTGAAGTGGGTAGCTGCTGCTGGTCCATCTGTCGACCATGGCGTGATGCGGTCGAAGACGGTCGGGGGGTCAGGTGTCGGCTGTAGGTTCTGCTGAGACTGTGGGTGGCCGTGGGTCAGCGGGGTCTGGTTGTTGAACCACTCAGCTATCTTGACAATTGCCTCGATTGCGATTTCCCTCTGGAAGTTTGTGACAAGGAATGGCGTCGGCGTATATGTAAGGCTATGTTGTATGGCCACCGTGATACTCATGAGGATGTTTCTCTTCTGACGTACCTCTTCTGCTGGCTCAGGGATATCGTCGCGGCCGTGATGCTTCGGGAAGTTCAGCATTTGGGCAAGCTGGTGGTTGGCCTAGTTGGCCAAGTTCCTTTGCCGCTGGGTCATGTGAAAATTTCGTGCATCCCGCAGCTAGTCGGGTTTGCAGTAGCTGTTGAGGGCCCATTCCACGTATGCCATGACAGGCTCGTATTCAATGCGGAGGTACGGGTTCGTTCCATTGTCCCTGTTGGTCTCGCCTGAGTTGTTCAGGTCGATCATATTCTACCGCTTCGTGAGCATGTATCTTGAACATCGCGCTCTCGTGGTCGTATTGGTCATTGATGGTGATGGTCTGCCACCTCCTGTTGTCGTGCTTGGTGGCGTTGGGCCTGGGAGTCGGCTTGCGAGCTTGATGGTTTCGCCCCAGTTTCGCTTGATGTCAGGGTTGGCCTTCGGGATCGTTGCGCCAGCGTTTGGCGAGTTTGGGCGCGTTTCACTCCCGTGGTGTCCCCCGTGGTTCAGCGGGGTGGTCGGAGGCGGCTTGGATGGTACCTCCTGCCATGGCTGTGATGTGCTCGCTTGCCTGCCCTTGCTGCCGAATGCGACGCCTAGTATGGTCATTTGTGTTGTTGGCGCTTGTTCGTTTTCCTTCCTCCCTCTGCATGGTGGCTGAATTCGCCTAACGCACCCCGTTTCGCTTTACTCGCCAGCGCAGTCCCTCTGCCTAGCTGCCGACGCAAGAAGTCTTCTCGGCGCGGGCGCGAGCATGGCTGGCGGAGCCTTGTAGCGCGGCAGGGGGTTCGCTATATGCGTCGGCGTTGCTTGGGCCGTTGCTATTGCCGCATCTGGCGCTTCGCGGTTTTGGGCATGCGCTGGTACGTCGTCGCTCATATTGCCAATTCCGTCGTGGCTGGAGGATGCAGTGCGCTCCGTGGCCGGGGTGGTCAAGGGGTCCAGCAGTAATGTGGTCACCGTCGGAGTTTGTTGCCCGCGTCTTGAGACGTGGCCGTGCATGCGGTCAATCGTAGTGGCGTGCGGCTGTGTTGCGCGGATCTCCGCGATGATCATGCGCACTACCTGCTGGGCGCCGAGGTTGTCGTCCTGGCTGTAGAGGAGTAGCTGCATGAAGCGGCCACTGTCGGTGTCGGGGCGCTTCAGGTCGATCACCTCGTTGTCGCTCGCGTAGTCGACTGCTGCCTGGAGACAGTTGACGCTGACCCTGAAATCGTCCTCGTCGCGGTACTTCGTGATGATTGAGGGACTGTCGATTGTGAAGGGTTGGGGCTGCGGTGGCGGCGACCGCTGCATCGGAGGCGTCGGAGGCGTCCGAGCGGTGGCGGCTGCGTCCTGATGGACGTAGCCATCGGCGGGTACTGGATTATGTTGCGGTTGATGTCGTAGAAGCACTCGGCGTTGTCGGCTGATAGTGTTCTCTTGCAAATTGGTTACAGAAGCACGTTGCCTAGGTCTGTCCACGTGGTTTCTCTGGTGCCCAGGTCGAAGTAGTACACCTGGTGCGACCAAACGACATCGGTGCCCTCGTTATTTGTAAGCGATCCTTGGCTCAGGTACTGGTAAACGATGTCTGGGTGCCAATGGTAGTCCTTCGGAGCGTGCATTCCGAATCAAACAATCTGGTCGGAGGAAAGGCGGCGGTGGATTGCTCGGTGGTGGGGGCTGGGCCTGGTTGGGCAGCTGGTGGGCCCGATGGGCTGTGATTACCCTATTGGTTGTTTTTGGGATCGCTGGGGTGTCTTGCTCACGTCTTGGCCGTCCCTGCCTTGTAAGTTGAGCGTCATTTTGGATTGGGATGATGGTGCTGGCGGGGGTGCGTGTTGCAAACCGTTGAGCTGGATCTCCGCCTGGTAGCCGTCTTCTTGGGCGTCGCAATAGGATGTCCTCATTCTGTCCAGCATGCGGAGTCCTTCTTGACGGATGTTGGGGCGAATGTGCGACGTCAGAATGTGAGCGTCGCCGACCAAGGTCTCCGTGCAGCCGTAGACAAGGATGTTGATTGGTCTACCCCATGCTTCTGGCGCACGGCGCGGCGGTCTCCTGATCCTGATCGCCTCCAGTTGTGGTGGCCGGTTGGTTGTGACGTTGTGGCCCGCGATCCCGTCGACGTAGGTGACGTCGGTTGGCGGGTGCAATGGTACGCCTTCAAACTCAGGCCAGGTCGGATTGCCATTTGAGGGTGGGCCGAGGTGTATGTCGCGCCTCTCCTGGATCTCGTTGCAATGTATGATAGGCGCCACACCGCGCTGTAGTTATGTAGGTAACGGAGTTCTTCGTCAGTGACCTACACATGTGGACTAGGTCACCATCGACGTCTCCCTCCTCCGCGCGGAGGCCTGCTCTGGTCTGGGGCGTCGTGTGTACTTTGTGTTTTTCTCGAAGAGTCGGTTGCCACTGCGTGGGTGCATACCCTTGGCTCCCATGGTGGCGAGCGCGTCGGTCAGGTAAAGGAGGAGGGGTAGGACCTCGCTCTGTTCCAGGACCTGGTCTGTCGCGTGGGTGATGTACGTGATGTCGTGGCTCTGCGAGTCTTGGAAGTCTGCTCTCTGATACACCTATGCGGACATCACCTTGTGGATCTGGTCGACGTTGTCCATCTCGGTTCCTCGTGGGCCCAGCTGTGGAGTGATCAGGTAGATGAGATTTTTCTGCGCCATATCCCTGGCCCGTTTCCGAGGTAGCGCGGAGATCAGTGCGCGTCTTTGTGTAGATGCAGTTTGGCCGTGTTCGCCGGTACGCACCCATATTTCCATCCTGCAATATGGTATGAGGGTCTGTCTTGCCGTGTAGTGGAGGCCCATCTGACTGATGTTGGGGATGATGCGGCTCCTCTTGCAGAACTGGCACATTGTTGTGTCGGCCTTTCTTGCGGTGGATCTCTTCTATGGCTCGGTGGCGGCGACCGACGAGTGACGACTGGCGACCCACTACCGACCACCGACCACCGACTACCGACAACGACGACGACGTCGACGACGAAGACGACGTCGACGACGACGATGACGACGACGACGACGACGGCGTCGACGACGTCGACCTGCGGCGGCGACCGCGATGACGACGATCAGAGCCGAGGAGCTTGCGCAGGTCATGGAGGCGCCGCTTCCTCCGCCAGCGTCCGCGACGTCCAGACTGGACGAGGACCCGCTGGGCCCGCCGCTGCGTCGGGGCCGCGATGGCAAGAGCGAGGACGAAGACCGGCAGCTTTGGAGCTGGCTGGGGGCCCGAGGTGGCCCAGCATTGGTTCCGGCGAGAAGGAAGGCGGGGCGAGGTTCTAAGGTTTTGGGTTCGAGGAGGTCGTTTGCCTTTTTTTCATATTTGGGGCCGTCTTCGGGCCCCGGGACCATCCAAAACGGATCCAGGATGAAAAATTGCACCAGATGGGTCCCGGGAGGGTCCGGGGACCGATGTTGACCAGGTTTGCCTCCACCTTCTTGTCTTGACCGGACTTTTCAGGGCCATCCAGCTGAGACCCCCGGCCGCCTCCAACGACAGCAGCTACTGTCCATGTCGGACAGGACTCGCTGTCGGCGCCGCCGCGACCACTGTCAATTTGATACAAGAAATCGCTTACCCAATAGCGGCAGCTGTCGTTGTTGTACAACGTTCAAAGCTGGGCATCGTACCCATGTCTTCCGCACCCACTTCGGGCGTCTTGAGGATTGCTGCAGCCACTATATCACATCAGTTCAAAGTTGATCGCTCTTCGTTACCCGCGGGTCGCTCAACATGTATACCCTAACGCCGTTGTGCTTAGTTTCTTGAAGCAGCGTGGCGTCCGTTCTACCTGCTCGGGCGGGTGGGACATCCCAGACAGGCCAACACCACAAATCATGATGCCTTGGCCTCTTGGCCTCGAAAGCGAGGTTCGATGACGTGGCCGCACACGTCATGGGGAACCGGTGATGATGGAAGGAAGTTGCGATGTAAGCCGCTTTGGGCGCGTAATTGCGAGGGCGTGACCAAGGATGATTACGCCCTGTTCTATAAATCTTTGCCCAACGACTGGAAGGACCACCTGGCCGTGTGGAAGGCCAAATGGAGTTCCGCGCGATGCTCTTCGTGCTGCTCTGGGCAACCTCTTGACATTTTCGAGTCCAAGAAGAAACGCAACGACATCAAGCTGTGCGTGCGACGCGTCTTCATCATGGCCAGCTGCGACGAGCTGATGCCCGAGTGGCTCCAATTCGTGAAGGGCGTGGTTGGCTCCGAGGACCTGCCGCTGAACATCGACCGTGAGACGCCGCGCCAGAGCGCGATCCTGCTCGTGATCGAGAACAACCTCGTCAAGAGGTGCCCCGATATGTTCGCGGAGGGTCTACGAACAGCTTGGCCATGCAGGGAGTGCTCTCGCTGTGCGCCCCCAGCCGTGCCACTGGCATCGTGATGGATTCTGGCGAAGATGTGTCGCACGCGGTGCCCATCTACGAGGGCTTCGCCTTGCCGCACACCATCTTGCGCCTCGACCTAGCCGTCCGCGACCTCACGGAGTACCTGATGAAGATCCTTGTTGAGCGCGGCTACTCTTTCACGACCCCATCTGAGCGCGAGATCGACGTCACGGAGAAGCTCTGCTACATTGCCCTCGATGTCGACACGGAGATGAAGGTCGCCACCGAAGTTTCGGACAAGGAGAAGACGTACGAGTTTCCGGACGGCAACATCATCACCGTGGGCAGCGAGCGTTTCCGCTGTCCCGAGGTGCTATTCCAGCCCAACTTCGTCGGCAAGGAAGCCAGCGGCATCCACGACACCACTTCCATTCTATCATGAAGTGCGACGTCGACATCCGCAAGAACCTCTACGCCAACATGGAGCTGTCCGGCGGCACCACCATGTACCCTGGGATCGGGGAACGAATGATCAAGGAGCCCTGGCGCCATCGACGATGAAAATCAAGGTCGTGGCCGCGCCCGTGCGCAAGCATTCGTGTGGATCGGCGGGTCCATCTTTCCAGCATATGTGAATTTCGAAGGGCGAGTACGGCGAGCCTGGCCCCACCATCGTTCACAGGAAGTACTTCTGAGGGGCTCCTTCCTTCCCCTCCCGCTCCCCCTCCTCCCTCCTCCTCCTCCTCCTGTTCCTCCAGTGTCGAGTTTTTTTGGCGGCTTCTGCTGAAGTCTGGAATTCAGTGGTGCGTGCTTGTCGATGTCGCAGTCTGCAGCCTGCCCTGCACTCGTGTTCGCGCACCCCTTCTCTCCTCGGCCTTGGGTCAGCAGGCGCTTCAGGGTCCGAGGCCTTGCCGCCGTGCCCCCCTCTGGCCTCCGATGGTCCGCCAGGGACCGGGCTCTGCGGTTGCATGACCCTGCTGTGCCTCCCTCTGGCCTCCGCTGGTCCGCCAGGGCTTGGGCGCTGCAGGCGTGGGCCTGCCTCTGCGGTGAAGCATCGCGCAGGCGGCCTTGTTTTGTTGCGCTCTGCCGGGCCCCCTCTGGTCTCCGATGGTCCGCCAGAGTTTGGGTTCCGCAGGTATGGGGCACACTTGTATCCTTGCAAACTTATTCCATTGCTGGCCTCGACTTGGTCTCGATGAAGAGTCCCTCTCGGCGCTTTGTTGTTGGACGGCGCTTGTGTCCAGCAGGCAGGCTCCAAGGAGGGCTGTTGTACTGCGTGCCCATGTCCTCTCCTCCTCGCCTCCCTCCTTACAAAGAAGCTTGGGCAACTTTAGCAGGCAGCGCACTTCAGCGGAACTTTTGATTAGATGACTGGCACCACTGTGTGCATTAGACGTTCGGCCATCGCCGGGTGTTTGGTGGGCTTTACGCCCCCCGGGTCGCGTTTAAGAGGCCCCGCGTTGTTGTGCTTGCGTTGCCGAGGAGAGAAAACAAATGTATACCCTAACGCCGCGGATGTCCCGTACTTACCCAGACATCCGATGCTTTGATTTGTTCAACACGGGGCCCCAGGAAGTTGCAACCCTTCCCTCAGGGCCGGCGTTTCATCCCGAGTTGCTTTTGGATGGTCTCAGGGCCCGGTGAGGGAAACCGGAGACCGAAAATTGGCAAAAACCTCCCGTGTTTTTCGAGACGTGGGCAAGTCTGGGGTTGTCCCGTGTCTCCGTATCCCGCCCCCCTATCGGAGAAGCAGTTGGCCCAGACTCCCATGCCCCAGCAGGCCTTGAAAGAGGCCTCCAGAGGCACCGAAGAAGCCCTCTTGAGGTTCCCAAAAGGCTCCAAGAGACTTTCAAAACTCAAGAGGCGTCCTCGTACATCCCTCTTCCTTATAAGCAGCTCCTCCCTGTCGCTCCCCCAGACGTGTCGGTAGGGCGGGCCAGTCGTTTCGCCTGATATTGCCTCGCTATATTTATCAACCTGAAGCTTGAGACCATGAAACAGCTTCACGGACGGAGGGCGAGCGGTTTTCAACATGTAGATATCGTTTTGGCGCCGCACACAGGTTTTTTGTTTAAAGAGAGAGAGAGAGAGAGAGAGAGAGAGAGAGTTTAGAACAGCTTGACGGATGGAGGGTGACTCCTCTTCAAATTGTGGTTCTCGCCTCAGCGCAGTGCACATTGGCTTTAAAAGGTGGCAACAGTTTCAAGGGTTGGACTGTTTGAAGTCCCATCAGCCACGACTTAGGATTGTCAGGGCCGCATAGCCTGGTTGATTCGCGGTGTTGAAGTCTCAGGAACGGCGGTCCCAGAAGCAGGCACGATGTCGGATTGTCTGGACGCAACAGCCGCGTTGATCAGCGGCCCTGAAGTCCCAGGAATTGCGTGTTGGTGCGATTGAGGATTCTCAGATGGTTGTCTTCTGGGCCACCTCCCGCAATGAAATAACTCGTAGCAGGGACTTAGGAAGAGGGACCTTGGAGGAAGGGTGTATTCCAATATCGTTGACCCGTCTTCGGCTTACACTGGTCCTCCTCTTATCTTCCTCCTCCTCCTCCTCCTCCTCCCCCTCCTTCTCCCCAGAACTGGCCAACATCGGTCTATGGATCCCTCCTGGGGTCCATCCTGACCCGTTTCCGATGCAGATCCAACCGTGGCGACGAGAAGCCTCCCCGAGGCTCAAAAGGAAGGAAAGCGCCCGGGAGGGCCGCTGTTGTCTCGACTGGCCCTCCCACGATCCGCAGCTGTCCCATGTCTATGGCCCCCACGGAGGAGCAGCTTGCCAAGACGCTCAGCAGCAGGCTGATGGAGCAGCACGCCCTCGCAGCCGCGGCGGACCCCGCCGGGGCGGCGGCCATCGCGCTCGGCGCCGTGCTTGGCGGTGACGCGGCGGCGAGCGCGGAGGACCAGAGTCGTCGCCGCCGTTGTCGTGGCCGCGTCCCGACACGTCACTCCTCCCCCTCCTCCTCCTCCTCCTCCTCCTCCTCCTCCTCCTCCTCCGCCTCCTCCGCCTCCTCCATCTCCTCCTCCTCCTCATCATCATCATCGTTCGTTCGTTCAGGGCAGCTTAAGGCGAGCGCTTCGGGTTCCATGCACATGCGACTGTAATTTACAAGCAAGCTCCATCCTAGCAGACGGGCATTTTGCAAGACCTCCTTAAGAGGTGCACTGGCTGCTCAACCCGATATGTTGGAGAGACGGGTGGAGAGGAGGGACTTGTGGTTAAGACCAGCTTCGAACGCCTCCTTCATCAGCGGGCCTGCCAGGCGCGTGACCCGGTTGTCGGCATGGTGCCGGCTCCGCCCGATTCGGCCGAGCGTTCTTGCTTCGTTAGCGCCTCGTTCGTCGAGAACGGCCACGCTGTCATCGGGGAGCTGCTGGAAACGCTCCAGGACAACTCGCCTACACCGTGGTGATTTCTCCTCCAAGTGCACAATCACACGCGTGCGCTTTCCGAGCCACTGTATGCACACAGGGCAGTGTTCGGTGTCAGTGAGAGCTCGCATTTTCCTGCACACCCCATGCGCAGTCAAAACGTGGGTGGCCAATTGTTTGTCGCGTGCTGCACGTATACACACAGCTCGGGTATTTATACTCGGCGTCTACTTCGGCCATCCGGCGTGTCCGCGCCGAGGCTTGCACAGAATTGACCGCTCTCTCCCCTTTCGCTTTTCTGAGGGCCGCACGGGATCGTCTGGGTTTGTCGCGGACGACAAATGACTCACTCAGCAACCGCTTTCCGCCCCAACTCTGAGAGAAAGCATCAGCGCATTCAGACAGCATGTCGAGGTCTTCGGCCACAGCCGTCACCCATGAGCGGCGCACGCCTACTGTGCGGGAAAGGACAACGCAAAGCGCTAGAGGCCCATTCAAGCACACTTTGCTGAACAAGCACAGCCTCATGCACAATATCATTATGGCCGGGGCTATGAACTCATCATGTGACGAAACAACACAGCAGGATGGGGCACGGACGCCGTCCTGGCTGGAACGGAAAACGCTGGAATGTATTTGATTTACGGCAGTGTGTACGCGAGTAAATTCACTGGCGTATCGCTGTGGCCAAGTTCCAGCCTGATGCAAGCCCCGTGTATATAGGATGCCCTGGCACAGCGCCATCCGCGTCTCAGTTTGCACAGATTCCCGGTGCAAGATGCGGTGGCGAACTTGCTTGAAGGTCGAAGTCATGGCCCCGATCTTAGCGGTGATTTCAGGCTGCATGGCGTCCGTAGAACACATCAAATTCCCCACATGTTTGTATTGGGATGTCGCCGCGAGACGGCGGTCCGCCCCAAGCGAAGAGAAAACAATGATACCATCACTGTCTCGGAACAGGCGGCTTCGCGCCTCGACAGATCCTGGGCCGGCAAAGCGAAACAAAGCTTCAGTTTTATGTTTCATGAAGTTGATTGTGAGGCCAAAGCGTGACAATACATCATTGAATATGCAAGCGCACATTCACATCTTTTCAACAATGTCGCACGCATGCGCGATCAAAGGCTGAACAACGTCGTCAACGCACCCAGCGGGCCCCAGCTTCAGGGAGGGGGGGCAGGGAGGAGGGACGAGGAGGGGGAGGAAAAGGGGGACAGGGAGGAGGGGCGGAGGGGGGGGCGAGGGGGGGAGATCAGGAGGAAAACGGGAAGCGAGAGGGAGGAGTGGGAGTGGCCCATCAGTATTACCACAACCGAAACCCGGCATAAGGGCATCAACCTGGAGCTCGTGGCGCAGTCCTGCGGCAGCAAGGCGCTCTTCTACAGCATTGAGAACGCGGCTAACAGCGAGAAGGAACACCAAGTCCCCCACGAGTTGCCAGCCAAAGAGCCGGACGTTGTCTCGATACACCAAGCGACACCTTCCACCGCGAACCATGACTGCCTGTGCGACTTACTTAACACGGCGAGATAATGCTGGGACCCCCCGTTGTCGAGCCAATACTCATATGCCATGATGCCTTCAGCGACCTCGCCCGCCTCGTGTTGCGTGAAGCCAGACTCGAGCAGTCGGGCGACGAACGCGTCCATCGATGAAGGCGGGGATGGGAACGCGATCATCCTGGCAATGCTTGCGAAGGCAGTCTGCAGATCAACCAACAAAGCTCCAAAGGACATGTTCCTCGACCGCGCAAAATCCATGCAAGCAGCCATGTACAAATGCGCAAATTCCCGTGAACCACCGTTCAATCCGCCGCCGAATTGCAACTTGGGGCTCGCAGCGAAAAGCGCAGGCATCCCAATGGAACGCATGTGAGACGAAAGGCATTTCGACGCTGATTCACAAATTGTGACATCCCTGTAAGAAGGAATTTCCGTCATATCATCTTTCCCTTTGTAGATCTCAAACAGGTGCCCGCCTTTCCATTGCAACGCCTCCTCCATCTCCTCCTCCTTCTCCTCCTCCTCCTTCTCCTCCTCCTCCCTGCTCCCTACTCCCTCCTGCCTCCTCCCTCCTCCATCTGCGAGGCAGGAGTTGCGGGAATGTTTGAGGCGAAGCTGGCCGGGCCACCGCAGGTCAGGGTATCTGTGAGCATTGAGATGCGAGGGTGGCTCAGGCGTAACTCTCTGGACCACCTCACGTCAAGGTATCTGCAACAACAGAGTTTCCCTCCCTCCCCCCCCCCGTCTCCACATGCGTGTTCGATGGGGCCACCGGCGACCAGCTGCTGACGCTCGTGGCAGAGGACAGGGCCGCCGACAACGGTGTCGGCTCGTTGGTGGCCGCGAGCTCCGACGGGGCCCGCGTGGTGGTGGGGGCCGGAGGGGGGCTCCATCCCCCCTTCCACCCTCCTTTCCCGAGTGGGGGCCACCAGCGATCAGTTGCTGAAGCCCAGGGCGGAGGACGGCGCCGTCGACAACGGCTTCGGCTCGACAGGGCCCGCGTGGTGGTGGGGGCTGGGGAGCTCTCGCCCCACCACCCGACCCCCTCCAGCCTCGCGCGCGTGTTCGACGACGTCGTTGGCGACCAGGCGCTCACGCTCGGGGCGGAAAACGGGGCCGCCGACAACGGCTTCGGTTCGTCGGTGGCCGTGAGGTCCGACGGGGCCCGCGTGTTATTGGGGGAAGCAGTGGGCTCCTCCCTCCCTCCTCCCTTCAGCTCCGCGTTCGTGTTCGACGCTTCCGTCAGCGACCAGCTGCTGACGGTCGAGGCGGAGGACGGGGCCGACGACGACGGCATCGGCTCGTCGGTGGTCGCGAGCTCCCACGGAACCCGCGTTTGCGTGGTAGTGGGGGCCGAGGGGCCCCCTCTCACTCCTCCGGCGCCGCGTACGTGCTCGACAGGGGCCAACCGTAGATCAGCTGCTAAAGCTCGACTCCAGGCGGAGGACGGGGCCGCCGACGATGGTTTCGGCTCGCTGCTGGCCGTGAGGTCCGACAGGGTCCGTGTGGCATTCGTGGCGGGAGGGGGGGGGGTCCTCCCTCCCTCCCCCCTCCGGCTTCGCGCGCGTGTCCGACAGGGCCACCGGCGACCAGCTGTGGAGAGTCGAGGAGGAGGACAAAGCCGCCGACGACGGTTTCGGCTCTTCCGTGGGCGGCGGGAGGTAGGAGGAGAAGGACAGGGAGGAGGAGGGGGGGAAAGGGGGGAGGATGGCGGGGAGGAGGAGGAGGAGGAGGAGAAAGAGAAGGAGGAGGGGGAGGAGCAGGGGGAGAAGAGGAAGCGGAGGAGGAGGAGGAGGAGGAGGAGGAGGAGGAACACCAGGGTATACCCATGATGCATCAGGGATGCTGCAATAAACACCCCCGCCCCACGCCCCCTCACACGTCCCTACAAGCGTTCCCTTTCAAGCGCCCCTCCTTTGAAAGACCACTGCCACACATATGAGCCAGCCACTTTCGCGCGCCAACTCCTGGACTCAATCCCAGACGTGCGACGATGTGTGTCTTGGCAGTGCGCGGAGCCCGAGGTCCCGACCTCTCCTCTGGGGGAAGTTTCCCGTCACAGATCCATGTGTGATTGTCCCTGGGCCCGAAAACGGACCCCGGAGCTCGAAACTCTGAAAGAACGCCGCGCTTTGCGCTTGAACAAACGATTTCGCTGGCGCTGTGGGAGTCCTCCCCGTCTCTCTGGCCGCGCGCTCGGCTCGGCCCGGTGCCCCGCCGGATCGCGCGAGCGCGCGCGCCTGCGAGGAGGCAGCCAGCGCCGCGGACGCGGCGCTGGCACGCCTCAGCAACCGCGGCCAGGGCCACGAGGCGGCCCGAGCTGCGACGGCGGCGGCAGCGGCGGCGGCAGCGTCGGCAGCGGAGGCGGTGGCACGCGACGGCACTGACAATGATGGCGGCGACGAGGGGAGACGGGCGAGGATGATTCTGAGTGGGATTCCTCCTCCTCCTCCTCCTCCTCCTCCTCCTCCTCCTCCTCCTCCTCCTCCTCCTCCTAGCAGAGACACGTTGTACCACATTTTCAGGGCCTGTCCCTGCGATGCCGACTGTCGAAGTGAGGTCCCGGAAACCTCGGTCTTAGCGGCAGCGCTGGCCACCGAGGTCGACATCTACGAAGATGTTTTATTATGTCACGGTGTTTTCGCACATCCCGCCGACTCTTTGCCCAGACCCTGCCGTGAAGGACAGGTTCAGTTCGCCTGGCATCAAGACACCTGGCGAGGCCCTGAAGGTCCCGACGAGCCCACAGGCGGAGCCATCTGGGGTAGTTTGTTTCTTCGCCGAGAGGTGCACATGTTCCAAGAGGTCAGCGGGGCCTCGTGGGCCATCACGGTTCACTCCGACTGGTGGGCTGGTTGGGGAAGTAACAGTTCGAGGGCCTGTGCGGGCCGAGTACGCGCAGACCCCACAGGCCGGCGAGTTTTTAGCGAGGGGCATGGCAGGCACTCTTGGCAAACGCCCATCCACGTATTCTAGTGATTGCCTTAATGCTGCCAAGCAGTATATGTTTATTTTCACTGTGAGCTTGTCTTGCATAAGAACGCATCGCGGAGTTAGATGAGAGGCCAATGCCCGAGAGGGCTAGTGGATAAAGTGCGTAGTTAATGTTGACGAGCACAAAGACTTGGACGAGGTAGGCATGTCATTTGTCGAGCGGTGTTGCAGGATATGTAGCAACGATGCATATATAGCCGCTAAGCATGTGTTTAGTACTCACCCGTTGGACGAGGCAGGCTTGAAGGATGTGGAGTTCAAGGCTCGTGTGGCCAAGATGTTTTGGTTGTTGGCTGCGAAGGCGCTCCTTAGCTGGCCCAGGACTGATTGAGCTGGAGCCGCCAGGTTTCCTATTCCTTCTCCTCCCACTCGCTTCTCTCATGACAAGCCTGGCCACGATTGGGCCGAGGTCGGGCTTGTGGAGGTGTCGACTTTATGCAGTTGGAAGCAGGGCCAAGGATGAACCCCCTCCCCGCGGCTGCCCTGGCACGAGTCAGCTCAATGAAGGCTCCCTGGTTGCGCGCGGCCACCGTGTGCTCGCTTTTCCCTGCCCGGACAGAATTCACCTATTCGTTTGCGCGCGGTGCCATTTTCATGATACGGGCGCTCGGGTTGATGGCCTTGGCAAGCCGTGCAGTGGCGCGCCATCTCGGCATGCTCGCTATGCGTTGCGCGACTTGCACAACAAGGGCTTGCACCCGAACCCCCGCATACAGCGCGTGTCGGCATCTGTTCTGTCATCGGCTTCGTTGGTTCGGCCTCTGCGGGAACCTCGCTAGATAGCAATGACACTGAGGAGACTGCCTCTTCCTTCCTGCGGAGCATGAGCTTCGTTGTTCCAGTCGCCTGTGCGTTGGCGAGCTCTGGAGGGATGGCCACTGCGCTGTTGTCCTGTGCTGGTGCTGCTGCTGAAGGCGCACTTCGGTCGGCGAGAAAAGCGGCTGCTTCAATGGTTGCAGCGAGGGGCAGCGGAGACAGCGATGCCTCGAGGGCCGGCGTTGCCGAGTTCGGTCCCCTTTCGTCCTTGGACCCGCACCCCTCTTCACAAGTGGCGCGTGCTGGCGCTTTGGGCCCTCGAGCTGGCCAGCAGGCCCACGCGGCGTCGAGCTGTTCTCTCCCGCGCGTTTCGGGACGGTCGCAGCGACTGGATGCCTGCGTGGAGGCCGCGAGCTGCGAAACAGCAGATCAGTCTGCTGCCGCTGCCGCCCCCAATCCCCCTTTCGGGTCTGAGCCTCCCTCTCCCTTTCTCTGCAGCAGCGATTCGCGTGAGCAGCCGTTCCTCATTTTCCGCGCCGCGGCGGCTTCGCTCCGTCGCTCGGCAGAGGAGTTGCCTGTTACCGTTCGAGACTCTGCTTAGGAGTCAGACAGCTCATGTTAAGTGTATGTTTGTTTTCTTTCCCCTTCTTAATCTTTGACAGGGGATTTCAGCTACGGCTGGACAGCGATGCCTCTTCCTGCCGTTGTATCGCTGGGAGTATGGCAGAGGGGGCGTCGAATTCAAAAACCTTACTCCTCCTCCCCCTCCTCCTCTTCCCCTTCTTCCTTCTCCTCCTTTCTCCTTGTCCTTCTCCTCCTCCTCCGCCTTTTTCCTCCTCCTCCTTCTCCTCCTCCTCCTTCTCCTCCTCGTCCTCCTCCTCCTCCTCCTCCTCCTCCTCCTCCTCCTCCTCCTCTTCCCCCTCCTAGTAGCCGATGCGGCTTGCAGCGCAGAGCGAGTTCCTACCACACCTGCCACGCCGTAAACCCCAGGGGTGGAGGTCACAACCATGCGCGGGTGGTCGGCCCAGGCGGGCCTGCTGCACCAACGCTCATGTCACTTCAGCCACATAATTTCTCTTGCTGATGGTCTTGTGACTTGTTGCGCATATCGTGGGCTCGGCAGATTTCACGCGTTTGGAAGGCATGTCCATCTTACGCCGACGGTCATCGTGCTACTATTGGATGGAGCTGGACGTGCAGCGCTCCGAGACGAAGATGCATTACAGACGGCACTCCCTACTCACACATGCATGCAATTTGGTATTCGTAGTTCACGGTGGGCGAACAGAACGCTGTGGCTTGGCAGCACTGCGCAGCAGGAATATCAGATCCACCGCGCAGCAGATACAGTTCCCAGCCACATTTCGTTGCATCCCCGGCAGAGTCGCAATGCCAAGTTCTCGGGTAGACGCCACACTTGTGGTCTTCTTGCCCGTCCAACGGTTAGACTAAGGAACCCAAATATGGAAGCTACGGTTTCACAGCGTGCACGTGATGCGCTAGAAAAAAACAGCATGTCTGTATATGGCAGCTTATGGGGCACTGGACCAGCGCATTCCGATGGCTACAGCAGCAGCAAGATCGACCATTCCACCATCCCGGCTGAAGCCATGCAGAAGGTGGTCGCACTGCACGCGCTCAGCTGACTAGGGCGGCGACTTCAGCGACGCATCACCGCGGGGCCGCAGGACCAAATCCCACTACTGCTCGAAGGCGACTTGAAATTGAAAATGGGACGCGAAGTATATCACCATCCACGCATTCACCGCGACTCACTCATGGGAGCATGCGTACATGGGCATCTGCGGATAGAGCATTTGAAAGACCAGAACGGAGGGCGAAAGAGACCCCCTAGCAGCAGTGGCGAGATACGTGGGACGGAGGCGACGTTCCGCAAGGATGGGACTTGCTCAGCAGTTGCACACTTCAGAGCCCGAAGAAGATTTTCCCGCCTGGCGACCCCCAAGCGAAGCAGAGCGAACGAATGAAAGAGGCGCGCGCGGCGCTGATCCAGCGTCGAGTCCAACTGCGAGAACAACTCGGGGCAGGAGACAGCATGGCCTTCGACGAGGGCGACCCCGACGCGGCGCGTTCGACGAGGCGAGTGCAGAGTTAAGACGAAGTCTGAGGGACTGGCAAACGCCGCGGGGATAAGGCATGGAAAATGCGGGATTTCTCGCAGGCGCATTGTCCGGAGACTTCTCTGGGAGGAATCTGGAGCGAACCAGAGAAGAGGTTCATCGGCGGCAATCGCCAGAGCACGTCGCCCAGCGAAGCTACATCAGGCTTCGCGCATCAGGCAGGCATAATACGGAGGACTTGGAGCGCGAGAAGTTGACCGGGCAGAGGCGGCGCCCGACCGCCCCCCCCCCCCCCCCCCCCCCCGGAATGCTCGCGGCGCCAGGCGAGGTCTATGAATGGGCGAAGATTGATCGCATTGGGCAGATACGCCGCGCGCGACGCGCCGCGGAGAGGCGCGCCTGCACCGCCCGGGCCGTCGCCCCAGGAGAGCTGCTGATTGGGGCCGACAGATGGAACCATTAAGGCGCCCATTCTTGCACCTCGCTCGCATTTTCTGGCGGGCGCAACGGCCTCCTCACATTGACTCGCATGGTCGGGCTTATGCCGTTGATCGCGGCGCGATGGCGCGCGCTCGTTCAGCCCGGGCACGCGGCGCCCAAGGCGAGACGATCTCGCGCTGCTTCGACGCGCCCGGCGCGAGTTTCGCCGGGCAGATGTTGAGGCGCGCCAAGCGACCGCTGCCCGGGGGGCCCGCCCGCGGAGAGCTCCGCGGTCGCTGGCGCGAGGGGGGCTGCCTGCTGGCATTGTCGCTTGCAACGCGCAGATGTAGGGGCGCGCGAGCGTCGCGCGCAGCGACGACCTACGACGGCGCGAGCGCCTTCGCTTGCACCGAGAGAGAGAGAGAGAGAGGGAGAGAGAGAGAGAGATATATATAGAGAGAGAGAGAGAGAGAAAAAAAAAAAAAGAGAGAGAGAGAGAGAGAGAGAGAGAGAGAGAGAACAGAAAGGAGAGAGAGAAGAGAGAGAGAGAGAGAGAGTGAGAGAGAGAGAGAGAGAGATAGAGAGAGAGAGAGAGAGAGAGAGAAAAGGATACAGAGAGAGAGAGAGAGAGAGAGAGAAATAGAGAAGTAGAGAAGGAGAGAAAGGGAGAAATAGAGAGAGAGAGAGAGAGAGGACTGGGACACAATTTGACAAACAAGAGAGAAATCAATCAAAGAGAGAGAGAGAGAGAGAGAGAGAGAGAGAGAGAGAGAGGGCGAGAGAGAGAGAGAGGAAGAGCGGGCGAGAGAAAGAGAGCGAGAGAGAGAGAGAGAGAGAGAGAGAGAGAGAGAGAGAGAGAGAGGGAGGAAGAGAGAGCAAGAAGGAACAGAGAGAGAGAGAGAGAGAGAGCGAGAGAGAGAGAGAGAGAGAGCGCGCATTGCGCGATCGCACAGCGAGCCCTGAGCAGCGCGAATTTCTGCGCGACGCCGCGGAGCGCCCCGCGGCGCGCTCGAACGCGATAGATGGCGAGTGGGACGTGCGGGCCGATGAGGGGGGCCT